AATGTGTATAAATATAATGTGTGAACCGTAAGGTAATATGTAAGGGGTAAAATGAAATGAATAAAGTGTAAAATGTGTATAAAAGTGTATAAATATTTAAAAATGCATATACATATGTATACCATTTGAAATGTATCAAAATGAATAGTTTAGATACAAAAATTTGTATATAAAATGTTTGAATAATTTTTAGTGTTTGAATGTTTAGAGGTGTGCAAAAGTTTATACAAATGTACACTAATATGTATGAGTGTATAGCAAACGTGAACACGTGTAAAAACGTGTAAATTTGTATATATATATATATATATATATATATACATATATATGTATATATGTTTAAGCACATGTTTGATGATGATAATAACGTAATGTATCTGTTTTGTAAATATCAAATTTCAATTTGTGAATTATCACAGTTGCATTGATAATTATATAAACGTATATATATATATATATATATATATATATGAATATATAAACGTATATTTGTATATATATGCAAATGTCCAAGTTTACGAATTTACCGTCATGATGCGTGTTAAACTTAAAAACAGGAAATAATCTTTAAGAGAACTTCCTACGTATTAAATTTTTCTTTGGGATTAATTAAAACTGTTTTACGACTTCAAACACGAACACGTTTTATTTTACTTCAAATCCCGAAGTTTGTTTTACCAGAAAATCTGATTCTGTGTTTTCTCTACGCTTTAAGCATTCTGAATCGTTTGAGACCAAACTTAACATGACTTTAGAGGGATGTGGTACCCCATGTCCTATCAGTGCGACTTATTAATCCAAACTATAATGAATTTTTATAATTAATGAACTTTTCTTAGGCCTATGATATTTTATAAATAAATTGAATGTAAGAAAGAGAAAAACGTACATAGAATGTAAGAATGAAGATCTGAAATATAATTTATTAGTGTCAACCATTATACACATTTATATAATGATAAATTATACATTATATATTTATAGTAGAATTAAAAATATGTATAATATTTAAAACAATAATGTAATTAAAGTCATTCTTCAAATACGACATAATCGGTTTGTCATTGTAATTAGCATTTAGAAATGAACCTTCATTAGAGAAATGAAGCTGATTAATAAATTCTATAATATTCGTTCACACAGTGGATTATGTTGAACAACGCCTAAACAAATATTGTTTTCGCAACTTCACTCATCATGTAATTGTGTTTGAAGAACTTCATGTAATTAAAATTAACATACATTCATTGACTGCTTGTATTTTTTTATTTTTCGCTGGCGATTTTATCTCATTCTTGAACAGCTGTAATACCTGTCTTGCCTAAAAAATATTTTCTATTTTATTAACTCCAAAGATTTATAGAAACTACGAATAATATAGAAATAATTTCTAATCAATAAACTTACGTTTAATACACGGCACAAATGTTTAATTTGTTTTATTATTTTCAAGGAACAGGGTAAAATATTCTTCTGATTCAGGCATTTTTCATTAAATCAAGATTTGTACTACGATGTAACTTTAAAATGTTTATTTATCTATGCCGGTTTCCTTGTTCATATCGGTACGCATACAACGTTGATGCCGGTACGCATACAACGACAGATCTCTTTTCACATACGAGACGACTAATCACAATCGACCTGTATAGAAATGATTTCATCGAAGGCGAGTGACGTACAGTTCTGGCGTAACGCATTTCCGTTGCATTTCTATGGATTTACACCCTAGTCGCGCCTAAGAAAATGTTTTCTCTATTTTGACATATTTTGGAAGATCTGAACTTTTTTTCAAAGCAATCGTACTGCTTTAACTGCATAGAGACAAAATATAAAGCGCGTAAGCGCCGCGTTGCTGTCTAACGGATAAACATTGGTACGGAACCCATAGGAATGTAAACAAAATTTATACTTATTGTTAAAATCTCTATAAAATATCTGATAATTTGATGTGCATATGTCTAATGATCATTTTTGACCGCAAAATGGCATTTTTTTTTACTTTTTTCGTTAGATCTCCGAAACCGCTAGACCTGCCCTCATGAAAATTTGATCAATTCTTCATCTTGTCAATACAAGTAAAATGTTTTTTGAATTATTAAAATCGGACGCTCCGTTCTCTTAAAAACTGAGTTACCATTTTCGGCACTTTTTGCCCCGTATCTTCGGAACGGCTAGACCTGCCTTCGCCAAAAACTAATCAGCACGTTTCCTTATCAATACGAATCGAATGCTTTTTGAATTATTCAAATCGGTTGATCCGTGTTCCCGAAATCGTCGACAAAAATTTGTATCCGCACATACATACACACACGTACATACATACACACACACATACACACACACACACATACATCCATTTTTTCTAAGGTATGCCAAAATGTTCAGAAACCTCTGAAACGTAAAAATATATATAAAAAATTTATTTTCGATTTTTTTGCGATTACTATAACTTGCCCTACGGGAAGTTAAAAAAGAAAAAAAAATGGAATTAAAAAAGAAAAGATAAATTAGTTATATAAAATATTTATGAATATATATATAAATGTGCATAATTATCTGTTAAGTCTAATACAATCATATAAATTTGCAAAAATTTGTAGAATTATTGGGTGTATTATTATGTAAATGTGTTTTCAGTGTGTAAATGTGTAAAAATAAGACAAAAAGTTTAAAGATGTGTATCAGTTTACTTAAAATGTATGAATTAAGTAAATGTATTTATGATGTGTAAATATATCAAAATTTTCAGATTATTACTATAAATATGTGGAAATGAATAGGAATGATAATAACATGTAATTAAAATGCATGTAAGAAAGAGAAGAATGCATATAGAATAAAAGAATAAAGAAAAGAAACAATAGAATAGAAATAGAATAGAAGAAGAAAGGAAGGAATAGAATAGAAGAAATAGAATAGGAAGAATAGAAATAGAAGAAAAGAAGAATAGTATATAAATATATCAAAGCTCTTAGAACTGGATATAAACACGAAGAAATGTATATTTTAAATACCTATATTTAAAAAGTGTATAAGTGTATACAATTGTGTATAAGTGTATACAATTAATTGTATACAATGAGCATATATATTTATTCATTTATTATTTTATTTATTGAGTACAATAATATTATTATATGAAAGCTCGTTTTAAAATGTTAAAAATATCTAAACTAATTAGAAGTGTATAAATATGTATAAATTAGTCGAAATATTTATAAAATTTACCACGTGTTCGATTTTGCACATATATGTGTGTATGCACATGTGTAAATATGTGTATATTATGTATATTTGTGTATATTTGTATATTTTATTCAGAAATGTCCGTATGACGATTTTTGCTGCCAACATATGATAAATCTCTCAAAAGGGAAGTGTCGTTCGAATGCTACTGATAACATTCACAGATATTATAATATTCTGTGGATTTTTAAAAATACAAACATTCGCTTTGGAAAACCAATGAAAACATATTTGAAATTTCAATAAATACACCAAAAATATAAAAAATAGTATTAAGACACTATTCATATAGTCGGCCCGCAGGAAACAAACAAGAAACTTGTTTAGGCATTTGTTTATTATATCTCTTGTATCATTTAAACCATTCGATTAATATAAAAGACAAATTGATACAAAATTAAATGATGTACAACATTGTCTAACAACAAAAACCTCAAAAGCCACTCGGTATTCTTTAAAATTGCAATCATAAAACTACACCATCCTGATTAGTGCAACTTCGGATTGGTCAAATTGATGCCTAATCTCTTACAACTTTTAGACAATTCGATTAATATGAATGATGTAAAAGACAAATTGATGAAAACTTAAATAATCTACAAGATTGTCTTTACAACAACTCGGTATGCTTCAAAATCGCCGTTAAAACAAAAAATATTTGAAATTAACTTCTTGGTCACCCAACCATGATGCCCAATCTCCAACAACTTTTGAACCATTCGATTAATATGAATGATGTAAAAGATTGATACACTATTAAATAATCTACAAGATTGTCTAATAGCAAAAAACTCTGCAACAACTCAGTATACTTCAAAATCGCTATTAAGAACAAAAATCTATTCAAACTTCACTTTTAGTCACAGAGATGTCCAATCTCTTAGAACTTTTGAACCATTCGATTAATATGAATGATGTAAAAGACAAATTAATGAAAACTTAAATATTCTACAAGATTATCTGTCACCAGAAACTTTACAACAACTCGATATACTTGAAAATCGCAATTAAAACAAAAAGTATTGAAAATTAACTTCTTGGTCACCCAACCATGATGTCCAATCTCTAACAACTTTTGAACCATTCGATTAATATGAATGGTGTAAAAGAGAAATTGATACACTATTAAATAATCTACAACATTGTCTAATAACAAAAATCTCTACAACAACTCGGTATATTCTAAAATTGCTATTACGAACAAAAATCTATTCAAAATTCACTTTTAGGCACAGAGATGTCCAATCTCTGAGAACTTTTGAACCATTCGATTAATATGAATGATGTAAAAGAGATATTGATACACTATTAAATTATCTACAACATTGTCTAATAACAAAAAACTCTGCAACAACTCGGTATATTTTAAAAATGCTATTAAGAACAAAAATCTATCCAAAATTCACTTTTAGCCAAAGAGATGTCCAATCTCTTAGAGACAAATTAATACAAAGTACAAAACTTCTTAACAGGAGAATTCCTGTTGTCCCAGCCAGGACAACTCGGTATACTTTAAAATCACCAGCAAAATCACTAGTTAGGAACCAAATACTAAAGCCAATGTCTACAAACTTCTTTTACCTGATCACATCATGGTTCAACTTCAAACAATCTACATAACCAACTAACCAATTGCCGAACTCTACACCAACTTGGTATATCCATTAAAAAGCCCACCAAGCATGAGTTAGACTTATTGAATACTAAACCAATCTTAGTTCATCCTATTAAATATAAATATTTCTTCTTACCTTATCTCATCATAGTTCAACTTCAAATTGGTCACAGTGATGCCCAACTCCTGGAAGCTCCTCAAACTCAAGTCGTTCATCTGGGAATAGGTGATCCTCAAATCGACAGTCTCCTCAGGAGAAAAACTATCCCTTAAACTGTCCGCAATCTGCTCGAAGGATCCCATTCCTTCGCAGAACACCCTGTAGTTATCATAACGACTGCTCTCCTGTTTCTTGCAAGTGCAAGGAGTTATGTCCTTCCTCAGGTTTTGGCATTGGGGACTCCCGTTGGCCACGATTGGATCAGAAAGGCAGAACAGGAGTAGGAGGTAGGTCAGGATCAGGGTTGGCATTGGGCAGCATCTTGGAGGGAACTTGCCCATCGTGAGGAATGGAGGAGTGGTGACAGAGTATGTTGATGGTGACAGAGATGGTTTATGGCTGAAAATATGAAAAATGTTAGTAAATAATAATTTTAGATTTATTGATGTGTTATTATATTCTTGAAGTGTAACTTCTAAAGAAAATTAAGTTCAAAAGGCATTAGAGCGTTAATTTGTTGTAAATTATATAAAAATATTGTCTTGAAATGTTTTCAATTGTATGGAAATTGATTAAAACTATTGGCAACTGTCTGCTAATGTTAGCAATTAATTGGCTGCCAATGTTGGCAATTGTCTAACAATGTTGGCAACTAATTGGCTGCCAATGTTGGCGACAAATTGGCTGCCAATGTTGGCGACAAATTGGCTGCCAATGTTGGCGACAAATTGGCTGCCAATGTTGCCAGTTTTCTACCAACATTAGCAATTGTCTGCAAATACTGAAAATTGTCTGCAAACGTTGGCAATTGTCTGTAAACGTTGGCAATTGTCTGCAAACGTTGGCAATTGTCTGCCAATGTTGGAAATTGTCTGCAAACGTTGGCAATTGTTTGCCAATATTGGCAATTATCCGCCAATATTGGCAATTGTCCGCCAATATTGACAATTGTCTGCTAATATTGGCAATTGTCCGCCAATGTTGGCAATGAATTGTCTGCCAATGTTGGAAATTGTCTGCAAATGTTGGAAATTGTCTGCAAATGTTGGAAATTGTCTGCAAACGTTGGAAATTGTCTGCAAACGTTGGAAATTGTCTGCAAACGTTGGCAATTGTCTGCCAATGTTGAAAATTGTCTGCAAACGTTGGCAACTGTCTGCCAATATTGAAAATTGTCTGCAAACGTTGGCAATCAATTGACTGCCAATATTGGAAATTGCCTGCAAAAGTTGGCAATTGTCTGCCAATATTGGCAATTGCCTCCAAACGTTGGAAATTATCTGCAAAAGTTAAAAATTGTCTACAAACGTTGGCAATTGTCTGCAAACGTTGGAAATTTTGTGTGCAAACGTCGGCAATTGTCTGCCAAAATTGGAAATTGTCTGCCAAACGTTGGAAATTATCTGCAAACGTTGGAAATTATCTGCAAACGTTGGAAATTGTCTGCAAACGTTTGAAATTAATTAATGTAGATTGTCAGAGCATAATTATCTATTATTGTGCAGAAATGTTGTAAAGTGTGTAAAATATTGTAAATTATGTAAACATGTTGGAAATTATATGAAAATATTACAAATTGTCTGCTAATGTTGTAGATTGTCAATTAAGCTTCCAAGTTTTTCAATTTTACTAATAGAAAAAGTTTTTTTTGCACTAACCAAATTTAACAAAATTTCACTAAAAATTTAATAACTCAAATTAAAAAAGTGAAATCTTTAATTTTGAAATTTGTTGCTAAAATAGATATAATGAAAAAAATATATTTAGAATATATTATGCGAACAGTAAGTTCTGCAGAGCTCACTAAAAATCTAAGTAATATCAATAAAAAATATTAATAAACAATAACCATATTCTAATATAAATAAATTAAACATATCAAGCAAAATCGTCTTAATGTGCTTCTACTGTACTTAATTAATTATTATTATTAATTACTTACTTTTATTTTTTTGCAAAACCAATAAAAAGTATCCACAAACTTTTTTTGCACAAAATTTAAACACAAAATGCACACATTGCAAATAGAACTAAAAAAAGTTTAAACAATTTAATTAAAAAAATATATGCAGATATTTATTATTTACACTTTTATTCGATTGTTTATATATTTATTATTTAATTCGCACAATATTTATTGATTAAATTATTTATAAATATTTTTTTTTATAAATTCGAACCGACCTGTTCTTTCGTTTGCAAAATATAAAATGAATTCAAGAGTTAAAATCATCAAACTACGAATCTGTTTTATCCCCACCACTAAAAATTGTAATAAAGTGCTTCTACAACTGTGAGTCGGGATAAAAAAAATTAAAAAGACTATTTACTTTTTTAGTATTATAATGTGTAATACATTTTGTATGTATGTGGGTGAGGGTAAAAATTTAAACGATTTATTTTTTGGTATTTTGTTTGAAACTTTTTTTTGGATAAGTTTTTTGAAAATTTGTTCTTGTTTTTGGAAACTAGATAAAATTTACTTAATAAAAAATAATAAAAACATAAATAAATATAAGAAAATAATATAAATAAATAATTGCATTATTAAATATAAAGTTAGTTAAAGTTAAATTGTAAATTATAGAGTTATCAAACTCAAAGCTATTTATTTATTTGCAAAAAATATTATTCATCGATTTATTAAGATTATAATTGATATAATTTTGTTCATTGTATGATTGTCGTTAAAATATATATTTTTGGGGATATTTGCAAAAAAATGATGAAAAACGTCATGAAGAAACGAATTTTTAGTAGCCAGTAACTTGAAAAGTATTTGCTTTTTTGAAAAACATTATAAAACATCTTATAATTAGTTTTTCTATCGATATCCCACGTTATTTTGAAAATTACACCACTGAGAGGGATGTCATCCCCCCGGGAAGTGGCAAAGGAGTCTATTATTTTCACTTTTGAACTTAAGAGTAAAATGAACCAAATTCCAAAATTTAATGCAAATTGGAGCACAGTAAAAAAATTCAGATTCAAAACGCTCCATTGACTTGAGTAAATATTCCGTATCCACTGCCAAACATATGAATTTTTGACACAATGAAACTTCTAAATAATTTTTTGAATAAGTAATTTTTTTGTATTGTGATTTAGTAAAGTAAGGCAAAACACGACTGCATTAGTTAAAAAATAATAATCCGTCAAATTGAATTAAATAGGGTATATTCACTGATAATCCACATCTGCCAAATATATATTGTATCTTATATTATTTTAATTTTTGGCACATTTCAGCTGCTTTTCGGCAATAATAATGTAGACATTACATTTTTCTTATTCATAATCATAAATATATTATATTTTAATATTGTCTTAGCCTATAAATGAATGGAAATGTTTGGCAAATGACAGTCTTCATTTGTTTTCAATGTCAAACTATGCCTTAAATATTTTCAAGATCAAACAATGATAAGCGGTTTTTTGTAATTTTTTCCATTTATTTCCACAATCTAACTATATTTCTATAAATCAAAAAATCCTAGAAAATTCCCTTAAAGTTTAGAAAGAATTATTAAAATCCTGATAATCTTTAGGAAGATTATGCTTTCATACACCATTACAGAAGAATTTTATATATAAGATATATATATATATATATATATATATATATATATATACATATATATAAATATTCAAACTTTATCTAAATAAATTAAAATAAATTTCTCACCTGTCTAAATCCACAAAGATCTTCCGAATTCCAAAAAAGCTCACAATATGTTTTTCTTCAAGAAATCACATCCTTATTTTTCTTACCACAACGAAAACTTAAATAATATTATACAAAAATTAACAGATAATAAAAATCTTATTTATTTCGTATTTTTTAAATTTTAAAATATTATTTAAAACACTTTTGGGTCTTTTGGCACCACGTAATATATTATTTGAAGTTTTTTGAAACATCACTTTAGTATTTTTCGTTTTTTTTTTATCAAAATTATGTAACTTTGGGTTTATTTTTGATACATTGTTGTAATAATTTAATAAAAGTAATATTGATTGGCACTAAATAAATATAACACACTAGAAGTCCTGAATGAAAAAAAATATATTATGAAACAATTCTTTTACACTAACACTTTTTTTTGCACTGAAAAGGTATAAGTATATAAAACTGTGTATTGATTTGTAAAAATATACAAAATTAATTGTTAATATTAAATGTATAAAAAAATTGTATTGTTCAATTTAAAATTACGTAAATTCGAATAGTTTAATTGAGTTAGAAGTAAAAAGAAAGATTGCTTAGAACACACGAAGATAAAAAGAAGAATGAAGAAATAAAAGAAGATAGGAGTTGAATAGAATGGAAGAAAGAATGCAAAAACTAGATTAGAGTAGAAGAGAGAATAGAAGAGAGAGAAGAATGAAGAGTTGAATTGCGATAGAATAGAATTAGAAGTTACAAGAAGAAAGAAGAATAGAAGAGAAAGAAGAATGAAGAAATAAGAGAAGACCGGAAATGAATAGAATTAGAAGTTAGAAAAAGAAACAATATTAGAAGAGAGAGAAGAATGAGGAAGTGATAAATACTCTGAGTAAGTAGAATTTGAATTGTTGAATTGAGATAGAAGAAAAATTAGAAGTTAGAAGAAGAACGAAAGATAGAGGTAAAAAGAATAAAGAGATAAGGAAAGACCGGAAAAAAATAAAATTAGAAGTTAGAAGAAGAAACAAGATTAGTAGAGAGGGAAGAATGAAGAAGTAGTAAATGCTCCGAGTTAAAAAATTTGAATAGTTGATTTGAGATAGAATAGAAATATAAAAATAAAAGAAGAAGAAAGATTAAAAGAAGAACAAGGATGAAGAAGTAAAAGGAAGATAGGAGTCGTATAGAATTAGAAGTTAAATAAAGAAACGAGATTAGAAGAGAGAGAAGCATGAAGAAGTGGTGAATGCTCCGAGTTAAGTAGAATTTGAATTGTTGGTTTGTGATAAAATAGAATTAATAGTTAAAAGAAGAAGCGTGGTTAGAAGGCAAAAAAAATATAGAAAAAATTTGATAGTATTAGGTATGTAAAGATAGCATATAAAGATAGTATAAGACATAATAAAGATATAAAGATAATATATGATATAATATAGATAGTATAAAATGTAAAAAAGTGAGGCTATTTCTAACAAAAAAAGGAATGTTCAAATAAATATATTAATTAAAACTGTGTAGAAAAAAGTAATAATATATAAATCTCTGTATATAAATGTAAAATTGTATAATATTCTACTTTGCACATAAATGTGAAAATGTACATTATTAATATATTATACATCGCATAATATATTAAATATTAATGTAAAAAATGTATAATGTACATAAACATATCAAAGTATAAAACGTATATATTTGTATTAATGTGTGCTGTAAATGTGAATAAAATTTGTGTATAAAAATGTAAAACTGTGTATAAATGTGTATACATGTGCACACTGAAAAGAAAAGGAAACTGGATTGGACCTCTGTTGCAAAAAAATTGCCTCCTGCAAGACTTCATCGAGGATAAAATAGAAGGAACAAAAGAAAAGGGAAGAAGAAGAATGCAGACGATTGACGACTTACGCGAGAAGAGAAAATATAGGGAACTGAAAGCCGAAGCACAGGATCAAGAAGCATCAAAGCAGAAGTTTGGAAAGGAAAATACATAAAATAAAAAAAAATAAAAAAATGGGGAAGGGGTGTAGTGGTAATAGGATGAAGGGTAAGGGAATCATTTGTTTGTGGTGGCTCTTAAACCATGGACCTGCCTTCGGGCAGACTACAAGTTATTATTATTACATGTGCACAGATATAAATATTAAATTTAAACTAAAATCAAATCAATTTGATTTATATCACTTTTTCCCAAAATTTTTGTTATATTTTTCACACTTTTTTTCACAAACGTCTTCATCAGTGACATGTGCCTACGTGACAAATTGTCTTGAATTGAATTAGATAAAAGTATTGTTTAATTTTTTTTGTACTTTCAACCTAATTCTTGTGAATCATTTGATTGATAATAAGATTTTATTTATTTAATCTGGTTAACACCGGTGTTGGTTGATTTAAAGAATTTTAAATCATTTGGAAGAAAAGAATATTGAAACTGAGCCATACTCTTATATTTTTTAAAATTTAGTTACAAAAAAAGTTAAAGTAAAAAGAAAAGAAGGATATTATGGATTTGAGATAGAATAAAGTTAGAAGTTAGAAAAAGAAGGAAGGTTAGAAGAAAAAGAAGAATGAAGAAACAAAAGAAGATAGGAGTTGAATAAAATTAGAAGT